CTTGTTTAAGGGAAACGTGGGGGTGTAACGTACCCATGATTTTTTTTACGAAATAAATTAAATGCAAAATGCTAGAAAAATAGAGTTGAGAGTGGGAAGGTTTGTAAATGTTTGTTGCTAAAAATCCCTTCTCAAATTTATATAGATATAGATTACATGCTCTGGTTTCCTTATTACACTAGCACTAGTGGAAATACCCGTGCTATACACGGTGCTGACATTATTGGAAAAAAAATAAAATGGTGAACAAATAAAGGTGAAAAAATTTTACCAATAAAATTAAAATATAATATCTGTTTAACAATAATTCGAAATATAATAGAATGTATATATCATTCAAGAACTGTCTTTTTTCGGTTGTATGAGAATTTTTTTTATCATTGTATGAGAATTGTTAATAAAAAAATACAATAGTTAATATAGAATAGTATCAATAGAATTTAATACAATTGTGTTGTAATCAAATGAAAAATACGCACCAATTGAATTGTTATTAGCACCCATAGTTAATGAAGTAATCCCTATATAAAAATATTTTGGTACATGTAGTAATTGGTAATCTATAAAATAAAATAAATTGCTAATCTATAAAATTGCTAAGTTGTCTATAAATAGCATCAATAGAATGTAATACAATTATATTGTAATCGAACAATTGTAATATAATTGTATTGTATTGTATCTATAGTTGATTTAGCAAGATAGTGCAGCCAAAAAGTGTGTATGTGAGATGAGTATGACGATATAAGAAACTGTATATTTATCATGATCACGCAAAATCATTGGTGATGTGGATGTCTGGCGATCTTGAGGACAGTTAGATTTTTCATTTCTTTGATCTATAAATAAAATATATATTAAATTAAAAATCAATAGTTTATGTATTTATTTTATGTGTAAATAGTGATACATTGTATGAGAACTGTTAACCAAAAAAATACAATAATTAATATAGAAATAGCATCAATAGAATTTAATAGAATTGCATTGTAATCAAATGAAAACAATTACAGAGAAGTGGTTACCTGAACTAAGGAATGCAACTTTAAATGCTCAAAAGTGCCTTGACGATTGCACATATGTCAGGGGCTTGGTGAGTTTTTTGCTCCTCTTGAATCATTTTTTTTTTTCTAATTGTAATATATTACTTGCAGGTGTTAAGTAGGACTTGACTCTAACCTTTCGTTTAAGTACTTTAATCAATGAACTATTTATTTCATGAGTTGAATTATACTGTTGCTAGATAGATGAATCACGTAGTTGTAATTGTCATTGTTGATAAAGAAAAGAAAGGCTAGAATGCAATTTTGCCAAAAGGATTTCTGCCGAAATTAAAAATTAATCCAATTTTAATAATGGGCGTATAGTGCCTTAGTTATTAGTAGTATCTGAATTGTTTTTCTTGAATTATAAACCATTTTTAATTATTTTTTTTAATTATCAAAAAATCTTTTTTTTATTTCATGCACGATCATTTTTGGAATAAAATTATGAAAATAACTATCGTAACACCTATTTATGTGATAAATGTGCAATAAAAAATAATTAAAAAATTTCAGTAATACAAACAGATAAATTTTTATAATATACAATTTATGTTAGAAATAGTAGAACCCTCAATCATGAACCTATACCATCCGCAATTATATAAGCAAGCAATACCTTTTTATCTTTGCTTTACAGTGTAACAATAAGCAAACAACCATTCATAAGATTTTGTAAAAAATTTTCAGAAATAATGGATGATCAAAAAATCAATGCAACATCATTCATGACAAAAAACAAAGCAAAAGCAAAACATACTTAAAAGGCAGAGGGGACTGACCTGGAAAATTAAGCCGGCCGCAAGAAGGTTGATTTTTGCTGGAGTCTCTGCACATAATATCTTCCACTACTGCTCACAAAAGAAACAAAATCAATACATTTACAAAATCAACAGAGAATCCAAAACAAAGAAGCAACTGAGAGAGAGGGTGAGGGAATAAAAAATATGAGTTAAGATAGTGGGATAGTGGGAGTGAGCCACTGGCCATTTGGTCCAGTGGTCATCACCATTAAAGGTGATGCTGGAGGTCAGGGGTTCAATCCCTGCCTCCCACAAATTTGCCACAATTTGTGGCGGTCTTAATTGACCTTCATCGATGGAGTCTGTACTCACATCGAACCCCTCCCCTTCCCCTTAGATTAGGCTAGATTAGGTTATAAGACATCTATCGTTTCGATAAAAAAAAAAGGATAGTGGGAGTGAGATAGTTGAAATATTGATTGGTGATAAGGTGATAGTGAAATTTTTTTTTTTTTTTTTGTCAATACAGTGGGGTATCCGGGATTCACCCCGACTAATTCCCACTGCACCCCAAGAGCCTCGAAGCGATAGTGAGCAAGATTCGACCACACGACCCAGGCCCCAACTGGGGTTGTCCCGAAACCAGCCGATCTATGCCCAGGGGGCGAGATAGTGGGAATATTGATTGGTGATAAGGTGGGTTATAACCCATTACTTTTTTATGTATTAAAATAAATACAAAAATCTAGAAAAAAGTATGACAAGTTTAGAAGGTATTGAGAGGGTTTCTACTAAAAATCCCTTCCTGAATACATATAGATATAGATTCTTACTTGTGCTATATACACGGATTTATATTTCAATTCAAAACAATATTAATATATATATTTTTATATATTATAAAAAATTTATATTTCAATTCAAAAACAATAACATATACTTATATGTTATAGTATAGGATAAAGCATATAAAAAAGGCAAAACAATTCAAAGAAGTGTATACTTAACATGTTAAAAAAAGTTTATTTCGTAAATACAAAATGAATTTCTTAATTCTATTATCTTAAATAAGTTAAAACCAAAATTTGTTTACCAGTTGTCTGTCAATATATGATAATAATTTGAGTAAAATAATTTAATTTATAATGATTTACATGTTAGAGTAATTGTAAACCTATTTATCAATATATCATATTATACTCATATATCAAAATTTTTAATATTAAAAATATAAATTTTAACTAATTCATTTTCCTCAATTTTAGAAAATTTTTTCTCCCATTTTGTAATCTTAAAATTGTTGAGTGCCTTTAAAATAGTGTTCTTCATAAACTTTAATATAAATTAAAAAAATCTTTGTAAGATATGTTTTCAAAGTTTTCAAAATTATTAAAAACTATCACATTTTTCCATCCTCTCTGACTTGCTGATTGATTATCTTTTGTTTTCTATGACTTTCAGATCTCTTGCCACAAATACCATCCTTCCTATCATGTCCCCATAGTTCCCTTTTTTTTCTCTCCTCTTTTCATCCAACTTTGTATTAGTTTATCTTCTTTTTTTGTCCTTTTCCACCACTCTTTAACTTCTTACTATTCCTTTTTTCTACATATAGTTAGCCTCCAGCTTTCAATCCTTGACACCCAATATTTCTCTATTATTTATTCAAAATATAACTTAACATATGTTTATATTACACTATGATAAAGTGAATTTGATAGTAAAAACACTAAATTTACTTATTTTTCATATTAATTTTGAATTGAATGATTTCAATTTTTCAAAGGAGAAATGTTGTCATTGAATCTACATTCAACCTCCAAATTGTAAAATTTGAAGCAAAAAAAATTCCATAACTTGCAATTTGGTTTTACAATTTTAAAATACCCTTATATTTGTACTTTCAAAATAAATTTGAAAAGATAAATTTTGAAGCAGAAGAAAATAGAAAATCATAACCTGCAATTTGATTTAATATTTTTACCATATATTTAACTTTACCTCTCACAATATGAAAAGCATATAAAACTTAAGATTGATCACAATGGTTGCAAGTGTTGACATTTAAAAATGCAAATGAAAAACTAATAATATCTTATAAAACCCTAACTGCTACAAAAAATATATAAAAAAGACATAACAATTGCATATTTACATATTCAAAATTCTATATAAAAAAAAAGAATAAGAAGTTAAAAGCATTCTAATTTAACTATTTTAAAAATCCTCTCTGCAATACATATAGATATAGATGCTCTGTATGGATTCCTCATATTTTGAAAAACAAGTTTTTCATATACAATACTACATTAATATATAAATAAAAATAATTTCAAAAACACCACATCTATACAATATATCAAAAATAACTCCAAATATATAAAAAATAAAATCTACATCATTTTGTTCTTCCATCTATCATCACTACCCACAACTGCTATCATCCCTTTCTTTCTCCTCTTCTCTCCCTCTCACTTCTTCATCCCCTCCTCCCTTCCGCTTCCCTTCTCCTTTTCGGAGGGGGGAGGGGTGGAAGAGGAAAGGTGAGAAATGGCAGAGAAAGGGGAAGGGACGAGGGGACGAAAAAAAGGGAGGAGGAAGAAGGATGGGGAGAAGAAGGGAGAGAATGGTAATAGTGGTGGGTGGTGGTAGTAATTTTTAAAAAATACTATAAAAAATTTTAAACTTTAAAAATACTCCAAAATATATCTCAAAGGCATCATGAAAAGCATCTACAATAAATTTTTTTTCATATACACAGTTACAGTAAAATATTTTAAAAATACCCTCCAAAAACAGCTAATCCAAACAAAGCAATAATATTTTAGCAGTCATCTCAATTCTCAATTCTCATGTGTTTAACATAGGTTTTCCTTGTCACTCAAAAACTACATAAAGAAGATCACCTGTGATTTTTGTGTACTTGTACAGTGAACACCAGAGAAATTAATAGGAAATTGATCATCAATTAAGTAGTGTTTTTTTTTTTCTTTTTGTGGGTATATCTTTTTAAGTAGAGTACCATTTGTCAAGTGTCGCAACTCACAAGCGAGGATGAGTTCAATGCTTAAACAAAATTACTGCTTTCATTTTCGACATATTACATATTTTTCATTTATTTGCGCAAAAGCAGATTACTCCTTTTTTATTTATTTATTTTCTCTTTAGTATTCCTCTTTCCTGATTATCTACAAAAACCACTACAATTTAAGCATCAGCAAAAAGATGAGATCTTATTAAGTATTCTGCTACCATTCATGCTTGTAAACTTTTTACACTACAAACTAAGCTCAATTTACATAAAACATATTACACAGGCGATCTGAAGCACGGATTACTGGTCAATCGAAACCTGCACATATCCCCGCCATAACAGTTATGCGATCGATTGATGATAAGGCCAAATCAGGTGTCCTAGACGCTAAGGCTTCAGATTTTAAATGCTTATTCACCACGAAATATAATGCACAAATCAGTTCAATATGATTGTAGAAGGAAGGAATTCTGCTGGCGTTCGTTCTTCGGGAAAAACACCTTCGCGGAGAACAAGTTTTACAGTGGAACGAGCAGTTAGGCTATACTTCTCCTGAGCTTCTTCAAATCCTTGGCCAAGAACGCGTTGGACCCAATCCTCCACTTTCCTCTTGTCCCCTAAGCATGCAGCTGCAACCATCTGCATCATCACTCTGGAATCAATCTCCAGAGAACATTCTGAGTGAACAACTTTCTGAAAGCACTCGCTTATGTCCTCGAGTATTTTCTGAGCAACTGCGTCAAAATCAAATGCCTTAAAAGCCACAACTGCATCTACTTGTCCCAAGAAATCTTCCAGCCATGTTGTGGAGCTTTCTGGAATTGAGTCACTGCCTGAGATACCGTCGCATATTTCACCCTCTTCGGCAGGAACGTTCAAATCTAAATGCTGTGTATTTGAAGCCCTATGGGCTCTCTTTGCCATCTCCAAACTGCCCTGTCGTTCTACAAAGCCTGTATTACCAATAAGCTTTCTTTTGTTCATGAAGATCCGGTTAGAACTGCCTTTACTGGTTCTATCCAACATATCTGTGTTGTGGCTCGTCTCATAGTCACCAAGATCAAATCCTATCAACATTTGGATAGGCAATCCCTTCATTTTTGACATGTCTTCCTCAAAATAGCCAGCTTTTCCAGCATTTATGGTTTTATCACCATCTGCAGACTCTGAGGTTGTCAAAAATATGGCATTGCCAATGCCAAATTCTCTTCCATGCGAGTCTGAGAACCTACCAGTTTTCAGGGCTTTGGACAAGCTACTTTGAACAAGCAAATCAGCTTTGTCAACATTTTCAAGTAGCAAAACAGAAAAAGGTTTCTTGAATAGTTTCCCAGCAATATAATCAACAACGTTTTTTCCACGGTAAACATCAGTAAGATCACTCCACACCTGTAGATCAATGGTAGCATTTGCATGGATCATCTCATCTGGGAAACTTAGGTCCACATGGATTAGGTGTTCTCTGCTTCCATGCAATATTTCAGAGAGCGCAATGGCAAGTTCCTTCTGGGCTAACCTATCTGGTCCAACAAAATTAAGCCATATATCTCCACAGTTTTCCCTGTGGTGCCGTTCAGTGGTTGCTTTGCAACAAGCAATTGTGTGGCTAATAATTTTTAGAGCTTCTTCTTGCCTACCAATCCTTTTGGCTAGAGCTGTATAGAGATCCTGATAATCTACTCCATCAAGTTGGCCAGTGGTATCAGGATGGGAGCAAGATGAAGATCTAGTGTTGTTGCTCCAGATATTTCTGCTCTCAGGATTTGCAGACAAGGAGGAGGAGCAATTCTGCACTATATCCACGCAACCACTATTTGTAGGTTTCTCCAGTTCTGTGCTTGCAGAAGAGCTGCTGATCCCCAAATTCAGATCTACAGTTAATGAAGTAACAGAGGCTGGAGAAGCGAGGCCGTCTTGAGCAGTACAACTGGTAGAACTGAAAGGAGGACTGTGACCATTGTCCTCTATCACTTTTGAGGCGCTTTCACTTGCACTATATTTGGATAGAAAGTTCACATTTGTTGGACTGCTTAGCTTTGTTGTAGAAAAATGCTGTACATCCGTTGACATGAATGAAGCTATATTCTTACTATCACTTTGAGTTGAAGATGTACTTGCAGGGCTGCTGGGGTCATCTTTGGCAGTCGTTTTCCCATCTTCAGGAATTTGATACCCAAAGACAGACGTAAATTGAGTTCCCAATTGACAACTACTTGCCTTAGGAGATGGTTGGCTACACTGAAGAGGCTGAAACATATTGTCTGAATTCCTGTGCGGTCCTGCAATTTTAGTACTCGATAACACTCTATCATCTTTGGCCTGCACTGAAGATATGGAGACTGGTTTTCAAATGAACAAAACTTGTGCAGTGCTAGGACTTACTAAGCAGATTCTAGGAATTGGGTGTGAGAAGACCTTAACTTGCTGGTATTAAAATTTAAAAGCTATTATAATCACTGATGAAGGACAATATTCTCAAGTAATCCCATGTTATGCTAGGACTTAGCAGCAGATTCCGGAATTAGGTGTGAGAAGACATTAGATAGCTGGTATTAAAAGATAGAAGCTATTATAATCACTGATTAACGAAATCTTCTCAAATAATCATTAAATTGTGCTTTCTTTTGCCATTAGGTGGATTATGACTATTCCTGCGCTCTGGAGGAATAGGCATTCACTCAGTGGATAAACCGCACCGTTAACTGTTTATTTGCTCCACTTTCATCCTAGACCATTAACCTTCAAATAAACAAGATCCAGTAACAGTGCTCACCTTCACAACGTCCAAGCCACTGTGTGTGGTGAAATCAGTCATCCGCAACCAAGAAGGTTTATTGGATGGACAATGTTCTGCAACTGAAGTTGTGACCCCTCCATTTGAAAGAACATTAACGTCTTCATCACACTTCTCATTGCAGAGGTGGCAGCACGATGCACCATGGTCCAAGCTACGTAATGAGACGTTCATCTCAGAAGGTGAAGAAAAGAGACCACCAAACGGAACAAAAGACTCCATCAAGCTGAAAGGATATTGCAAGTATACAATGTGAGAATCATTAGCTTATTGCTGTCAGTATTTGAATTGGAGGAGCAGACTGAGATAAAATTCGTCACTAGCTTGGAAATTAAAAATAGAAAGTGACCTCGCTATGAAACTTGATATTTAGACATGTCTTAACTAAAAAACTCCATGACTAGTAGTAAAGCAAAGTAAATTTTCCATGTTTCAAAACCAGTTTAAAAAAAAAAAAGAAAGAAATGTTGATCAATTACTGTGCAGTAAACGAAGGAGACCTATCTCAGCCAGAAACTGCTGTGTCAAGCTTGAGTTTCCGAATTGAGCAGAAGTACAGTTTTACAACTAAGTACAACTCAGTGCATCAAGAAAAAAAAGCTTTGCACAATGTTTTTTGGATGCACTTCAGTGATAGACGCTATACAGTGGAGATCCACAAGACAGGTCCAGTCACCAGAAATTTAAGGGAAAATGATCCCAGTTAATGAACAGTACGACAACCCGGATGGCAAAGTAGAGTTTACGTGCAGAATTTGACTGACTGAATACGTTTCTCAAACAAGTAGGTAGTATCACTTGTGGAACATCAGCTGGTCATCAAAGAGACAGCGTCTATGTTTTAGGTAGGCACAAACTTTCTCAATTCACATTGCAATAGAACGGAAAGTCAACATGGCAAGAAATGAACGAAGGGAAAAGAGAAAATCGAGTATTGATCCATAATTTCAAGTCTCATATATATTTCAAGAGGATGGACAGTATTTATGTAGGATAAAGTAGCAATCCTCGTCTGTCACTCGTGTACTTGTCGGAAGCTACATCCATATGCAGAAAACGAGTTTAACTACGATATATATATATAAAGAAAGTTATGCAGAATATAATAAATAATAATCCTGTTCAATTTAAAAATTGCAAAAAACACCTCAAACATTAATAACTAGAAGCGAAAAAAGTTAAACGATCACAAAGACGCCAAACGTGCTGCTTACCTGGATCTTGGGCATGACTCTGCCGCAGACAGTCTCAGAGTAGTAATAGGCAAAAGCTGCAGGCCCAAATCCTTGTCAACGCAGGGAAACATATTCAAAAGCTTCGAATACGTCTCGTACCTCGCAGCCGCTCCAATCAACCATACTTTGTCTCCATGAATCTCCACCAGCCTCGTCAATTCGCTAATCACAAGCCTCAGAACATCAACTGGCGCGTCCTCCTTAGCCATTGCCCTTAAATCACCAAAATTCACCACCACCCCTGCTCCGACACAATTTTCCACCATTTTATCAACCTCCCGAAACCTCAACTTCAAAAAACTCTCTTCACACGTGCCACTGACGAACCTCAAAATCTCATTCTCCAGACAAACTACGCCCACACCAAATAGCTCCAGTGGAAGAATACCTGAGCCCCGCCTCCTCTGCAGCGTTTCGAAGAAAGTCCTCAAAGCGTCATAAGCACATGCGCCAACAAGCAGAGGATTCCTCCTCCCTTTGATATTATCCCTCGGTACCATAACTTCCGCAATTCTCCTAACACAGTTCTCCTCTCCATCTAAAACCCCAGAAAAACCCACAAACGGAAAGCTAAAAGCTCGACTCCCCAGCTCATCATCGCCGCCGCCTAAATTACACAAAAACACGGGTGGCCCTTTGTATTTGGGGTATCGAAACATCTGACGATGAAGTGGCCTGAGTATAGCTAGTTTAATCTCGCAACTCCTGAACCCCGACTCCCCGAAGACTCTACTCACTACTGGGTCGTCAAGAATGGACAGAATCAGGTTCCGAAGCTCAACTTTCACTACAGTGATGGAGGACGGAGAAGAAGACAACTGGTTTTGCTGCTGATGAGGGTGATAAAGATGGAAATTCTCAGGCTGCCTTCTCTGGTTAGCCTGAGACCTCTTAATAGCGGCCATGAGAGAGTTGGAAATGGGAGGCTCCTGGACGGGGTTGGGGGTGGAAGGCAGGCGGTCCAAGGAAACGCCAAGGCAGAGCTCCAAAGCCTTGAATTGAACGCGAGTGGAATAGGCGTTGTTCCGGGTACGAGAACAAGCCTCCCGCAGAGCCGAGGAGGGACGTGAAAGGAGAGACGAGACAAGGTGGAGAGAGGTGGTTTGGGCGTGGCCACGGCGACGTGCCACGGCCACCGCCTCGTCCAGAGCTTGCTCCGCTTCTTCTGTGAAGCATTGCCTGGCCGTGTCCACCGGCGTCGGCATTAGCCTAATAAGCAACAACACTAATTAATTAAATACTATTAATTACTACTAACGTCGGCCCCCAGAGTAACTGAAAAAAGGTTGGGGAAATGTTTTTTTTTTTTTTTTGGTTAAGAAACTTTAAAATTTTGGTCGGATGGATCATACCACTGCTTGCTTATTAGTCTAATAAATATACAAAGTACTGACTACTTTATGATAATACAGAATACTAACTACTCTATGCCAAATACAGAGTACATCTTCTTTTTTTTTTTTTTTTTAAGTACTATGTGGGTATATAAGAATCGAGAGGATTGGATTGAGGGGGACTCCTTGAATTATTTATAAAAACTTGGGGGTTGTGTGCTTGTGTTGAAAGGGTGGACAATGTTTTGCAGGTGGAGATACTGCTCTCTGCTCTCTGCTCTGTGCTGACTAGTGCAGTGACTGCTGCTGCTGCTGAGTGGGGGCTGTGATGGTGGTGGGGGCTGTGATTGTGCTTTCGTGTGTGTGGTCTCTTAGATGGGGGCCTGGCCTAGAGGCTAGTACTACACTAATTGTAGTTGTAGTAGAGCCCTCGGAGCAACATTATTTAGGAAAAGGCTATGCAAAAAGCGATTGGATTTTGACATTTTTGTTCTCGAATCTCAGTTCTGGTGCTTGTAATCCTCCTGCACACCCACTTTTTCTGTAGGGATCAGTGAAAAAACAGAAACCCGCATTTTAAAACTGATCTTGTTGCGGGTGCAATTACAAAATCTCACGTATGTTATGTCTTTTGAGTTCCAACTACGTATACTTCTTGATAGTGTATTGCTTATCACAAACTACAAGCTGACCCTTTGTAGGGGTTGCTTCATGATTTTGAGATTAACTAAAATTTCAATATATATTTCGCCTGCGCCTGCGCCTGACTTCTAATTCTTGAAACAACTTTAACCATTGTACGTACTGCTTTTTGAACGTCTGTCAAGTGTCGATATATATGCATTACAATGCGGGAATTGATTTGATCCCTGCTACTTCTCCGTCCATATTCGGCCATTTTTTTTTATTTTTTTATCGTTAAAGGATTCCTAAACTTGCGATTCTCTTGTTGATGAATGATAATAACAACATGCTTGCCAAGCTCGATGTTGAATAACTCGTCCCAAAGCATTATTACGTACGCAGCTCCTTCCTTAATTATTCCTTCAAGTTCGTTTTCAATTGTTTAAGTCGGTAAAATTTACTTACTGTTTGTCTTATATAGTACTATAAAAAAGAAGCAGGTACTTGCTAAGAACACTTTTTATTGTGAAAAAAAAAGAAAAACCACTTCCAGTTATTGCGCATAATAATAGAGTACTGTAATCACAAGTACCATATTTTCAGCTTTTGTGGGGATCCATAATGCTCTCTTCCCAGTAGTCTCCAAATTTCCCTGAGTTGATGGATGAATGAATCATGAAAGAAAGGTTGAAACAGAGTGAAGAGGTGTAAGAAGAAGGACAAGGAAAGGGAAGGAAATGGGCACTGAGGACTGGGGAGGGGAGAGAACAGAGAGAGATGCCAAGTCCACTTACCTGGGAGAGAGGTGGGGGCCATTTCTTCCCTTTGACGTCACTTTCTTCTTTCTTGTCGAAACGGGTCCGTCTATTATTTGGAACACGAGCGGGTACTACTACTGCTACTGCTAGTTGAGAATTGAGAATTGAGAATTGAGATTGATGATGCATTCATGTCATTCGATCGCTGAGTTGACTCACTGGGTCACCCTTCTTGTTTCACCTTTATTCTCCTTATTTTACCCCATGCGCTACACGACAAAATCTCGACACTTCAGCTAAGCCTACTGGGAGTCTAGTGGAGTTAAAGCGTCGTCCCAGTTCCCATGCACTCGGACTTGGCTCCTCTCTCTATATTTTACGCATATCACGTTACCATAACTACAGAGTATTTCTACGAAATAATCTACAGTTCAAACTGGCTCTCAAACGTTCAACTACACGTCTTTCTTTGGTTTTGTCGGTCTTTCACATGATGGTATAGCGCCAATCCATTGACAAATAGACGATGATAGAGCGTCGCTGTCTAAGCTAATACGTCCATCATCAGGAAATGATCCTCGTGAATGAATCAGCTACATCAGTCTTTGCTATTCTAAGTTTCGCTGTTTAACAAGTCCTGTATTTCCTTGAATATGATATGGCATTCTGGATGCGCTACTGCTGCTGCCGCCCAAAGATCTTCTTGTGGGTCTTTATTCTCTGATCTCTCGTCTGAAGGGCTGCGGGCGGTAACTTCTTGAAGAAAGGTTGAACTGAGTCCATGATCAAGGGACGTTCCTCGAATTAGGTGATCGATTCGCGTGAACTCGTGACTCAATGCATGACGCGGACTTTCCACTTTCCAGTCACTGTGCATTTAAGAGGTCCCTTCAAATTGTAAAGGTTGAATGCGACGGGGGTGGAACTAAGTGAGTGAATCAGGCGTCCAACTCCGGAGCCGCACCACACACGTATCATTCATCATCATCACTTGCGATTGTGAAAAGCTGAAACCTTTTTCCTTTTTCCTTTTTTTTTTAAATTTTTTTTCAGAGTTTAGATGCGTCATCCCATGGTACCGGAGGACTATTATCTTAGGCGATCCCTCCCTTACTCAACAAGCATTCTGTTCCGCAAGTGATCTTACACTTTGTTTGGATAGGACAGAGTATTATTTGAAATGCAGTATTCTTTAAAATAATTATTATAATATTTTTTATGATGTGTTGTGTATGAGATTAAAAAGTATTAATTAAAAATATAAAAAATATAATTAAAAAACGTATTTATAATGCAAGTAAAATGACATTTGAAAAAAGTTTTGATATTCAAACATATCGAGTTGGACAATTTGTATAAGTATGTAATTAAACCCCTCTTGACTCTTGACGCATACACCATATAATCCAACAAATTTTTATGTACAGACACAATAAAAACATTCTGCATTAATTGCCAGTACATTTTTTTTTATAATTTCTTGAAATAACAATTTAATTATACAATTGGAGTGTTTAAACAGTGGATTAATTGTCACTTTTTTTTTAATTACATCATTAACATATTTTCTAATCACTTTTTATCTTATATATATATCATATTAAAATATGTCATAATATTTTTTTAAAAAATAATTATCTCAAATAACCTACTATATCCACGTGTGCTCGCTAGTGCCAAGAGGCGGAGAGCGAGAACTATTTACCCTAGCAAAAAAAAAAGGCATTGGATTTGACGTGTCGGTTTGGTTTCCACAATCTCTTTCTGTTCACTTTTGTATTCCTCTCAGCTGCTTTTTCAGTTTTCACTCTTCGTACCAAGCAGTTAAATCCCACTCTCTCTTTGTCCTCACGATGGGCAAACCAAGATGGAATTTCCGATACTATTGGAAGAGCGATGATTATGAAGCCCCTCTGGAAAAACGTTGACTTGAAGAGATATACAATAAATTGGTTTCCACCACTCGTATCTCGACACTTCTCCCCTCGCAACAGATTCTTGATCAAAGTCTCTTTCAGCTGTGATGATGATCATTCTCCTATTGCTGTCAATTATGCGTTTCATTCAAACAGACAACGACAACGCGCTTAAGTTTTAGGTTTTAACATCGACAGCAGTACCACAAAAGCTGAACCCATTCGGGTTTGTGCTTTTGTACCACAGCCTAACGTGACGAAGAAAATTCATGTTTACCAGCGTGGCGTGGTATAATTTCGAAATTGTAGCAAATTGAGACGTTTAAAATGTTTCCTTAGCCTCTGCTAACCTAAGGGGATTTTGATTTTTTTTTTTTTTTTTGCGGAGCTCTTGCAAAATTTGTGAGGTAGCAAGTTTACACGAGTAATATATTCCTTTTTGTGATGGGAAAATTTTTTGTTTGAATTTTAGTTTCTTTATTTGCATAATCATCGATATATTTTTTAACCGTATTTTTATCTCACATATATCGCATAAAAATATTCAAAAAGATGTTACAGTATTTTTTTTTCAAAAAATTATTCCAAATAATCTTCTAACCAAACACAGTAAGTAAGGTGAATGGCAATAATTCAGGTGAAGACTTGACCAAAATTTTTAAAATTTTCTCTTCGAGTGTTAGTAGTGATTAAAAATAATGAACAATCGAGAAGACCATCTCCCTAACTGTGAATTCTTGAACGCCCGATAAGGAGTTGTTTCACATCACTTTCTCATGGCCTCTCAAATCCCCCAGAGGCAGGCATGTAGAGCCCAAACAAGAAGAATCTTCAAGTGGAAGATCTCTTTGGGTTTAGATTCTCTCTCACGTGTCACAACAACGAAGAGGAAGAAAAGCACCCACCACCACTGAATGCTGGAATTAGAAGAGGGATAATTTTCGATGACTCCTCCAAGGTTTCTAATAGTTTTACTTGCCTCCTCTCAACTTTTGAAAACCTCACACGCCTCCCGACAAAAATATTATATTAAGTATATAAATTTATAAGCTTAAATTAATGAGTTTTGTATATAGTGTAGGAGTTGACTAGGTATAATTAATTATGAAATTTTAAGTGGAGAATGGAACTGATCATCAGAAATACAACAAATAGGACTCTTATATTAGAATAGGTCATTCTCTTTTTCTTCTTCTCTTTTAAGAGTTTGGTCATTCTTTGTAACCGCTGAATTAAATTTAAAACATTAAGAAGATTTTAAACTAATAAGTATGAGCGATTTCCAGAAGATTTAATTATTGAATGAATTTTAAACTTATCTACTAAACAAAAATAAAATGTGAATAAAGTCAGAGAACTTTTTGTAGCCTATGTGTTAATGATGGTCAATAGATAGGGATGTTACAAGTTTTTTATTAAAAATTTGGAAATTGGTATTGTTATATATAAAGGTGAGTGAGTGTGAAATATAGTTTAGGAAAGAAAGAAAATTTCAAGATAAGAGGCAAATAGCTCTAATCTTGTGAAACTGTGTAGCAGCATCAAACAGAGAATCATTTTTGCTTGTTTAATAATTCCTTTTTTATAAAGTTGTACATACAGGATTTGTCTTTGAAGGTGAGAAATTGTCTAGTTAATATCACCAAAGACTAAAATATAATAGTTATTATGTCGCACCTCATGTCATCAATGGGTCGTCACTCGGGCCTCTCCTCTCCTCTCCACTCCACTCCACATCCAAGCTCCAGGAGCGAGAAGAACTTGAACAGCTTAAATAGTACTAATGGCTAATATTGCTCAAATGCCCATAGCCACTAGAATTTACAAGGCCGTCCACCAAGCCTGTACGCTAACACACGAAGGATACAAACTGCTGTAAGCCAGGAAAGTGGGGAAGGGGAGGGTGGAATGGATTGCAAGGGGGAAGGAATTGTGATTAGGAGATTTTGAGTTCAAGATCTCCCACTTACCCAAAAAAAAAAAGCCAGGAAAGTGCGGTCAATATATGATAAACAGATACCACCAGAAGAGGAACTTTCCCTATTTGGCCTACATCTGATGCCAAATTTTACTCTCACAAACACCAGTGGTCGATACACCACTGTCTTCTTGTCACGAGAGAATCAAAATGTTTTACTGAAACCCTAATTGAAATACCGATGCAAGATTATGATAATTTTTTAATGACATAAAATTGGTTTTAGGTTCCGACTGAACCTAGTTCAACCAAGGTTTAACCACTAATTTATAACTATTACAAATGCACCGATATTAAAGGGGAT